ATAACTTTTAGTAATGGGTAAGATGAAAGTGGGCCAGGCGCAGTGGCTCATGCCTGTAATCCCAGCACTTTGGGAGGCCGAGTGGATCATGAAGTCAGGAAATCGAGATGATCCTGGCTAACATAGTGAAACCCCATCTTTACTAAAAATACAAAAATATTAGCCGGGTGTGGTGGCGGGCACCTGTAGTCTCAGTTACTCAGGAAGCTGAGGCAGGAGAATTGCTTGAACCCAGGAGGCGAAGGTTGCAGTGAGCCGAGATTGTGCCACCGCGGTCCAGCCTGGGTGATAGAACGAGACTCCATCTCAAAAAAAAAAAAAAAAAAAAAAAAAAGTCAGAAACCCTACAGGGGAGTTGTAGGCAGCTCCTCGCATCTTCCCTTCCCCTAAAAGCATCTTCCTTTCACTTCACTTTAATACACAGCTGGTAATTCCACTAAATGGACAGTTATTGTTGTTTTTGAAAAATGTAAATCCCTTGGAGCATTAAGGACTTTTAGGGGCTCACACACATTAGTACAAACTTGTGTAAAATACTTTCCCTTTAACAGCTGAGACTGACTGCCCTGAAGGAATAGCAGTTTTGACTGGCAGGGAATAGAAAGGTCATTGAGAAGCATGGAGCCCTTTTGGGGTAATGGCAGACCAGAGATAAGGTCCTGGAAGAATTAAAACAATACGATGTCACTGAGCTCATAGGTGCCAGGAAACATGGCATTATAAGGTAGACAAAGATGTAGAGAAAGAGTGGAGAGATGCCAAAGAAAGGTTTTGCCCATTCTCAAATTTTACTTGGGGTTGGCACTATACCCAAAGCAGCAGAAGAAAAGTCTCTCCCTCCCCCTCCTCACTATGGGATCTCTTCATTTCACAAATAGTTATGGAATGGCTTCTGTTTCAACTGCCACTGCTGTTCCAACTGCCACTGCTGTTATTACTACTTACCATTTATTGAACACTTGCTATGTTGCCAGCTTTATGATTACACTGGTGTGACAATGTCAAATAAGACAATGTCCCTGCCGCTAGAAGACCTGACAGCCCAGTTGTACAACTTAGCAAATACTATTATTATAGAACGGCGTCTAAATCAGATAGAGTAGATCTTTGCTTTAGGAAACAGACTTCTGATTTCTATTGTTCTATAATTCACATAGTGAACTAATAGTAGCTAATACTAGTGTCTACTATATGCCAGGTACAGTTTTAAGTACCATTAACACAGAATCCTTATAACAGCCCTATGAAGTAGGTACAACGACTATATCTTCATTTTACTGAGGAAAAAACTGAGGCTTGGAGAGGTTAAGTAGCTTTCTCAAAATCACACAGAACCTGCAGGCAGCCAAGGTGGGATCTGATTCCAGGCCTCTGGCCTTATGTTCTTAAATACCTCCCTATAATACAAGTTTAAGCTAACTTTCCAGAAAATATAATCATAATTTATAATTTATTTCTATGTTAAAGTAAATTCTGAGTCCTAATATGGTTTGGCTGTGTCCCCACCCAAATCTCACCTTGAATTGTAATGATCCCCAGGTGTCAAGGGTGGGGCCAGGTGGAGATAATTGATCATGAGGACCGATGCCCCATACTGTTCTCATGGTCGTGAATAAGTCTCATGTGATCTGATGGTTTTATAAATGGAAGTTCCATTTATAAATGGAAGTGCACAAGCTCTCTTGCCTGCCGCCATGTAAGCCATGCCTTTGCTTCTCCTTTCCCTTCTGCCTTGATTGTTAGGCCTCCCTAGCCACGGGGAACTGTGAGTCCATGAAACCTCTTTCCTTTATAAATTACCCAGTCTTGGGTATGTCTTTATCAGCAGCATGAGAACAGACCAATACGAGTTCCAAACTTCTGACTAGAGGAAATTTTCAAAACATATGTTTTAAGTGAGGAAACTGCCTGCAATCCCCTTGGACTATAAGAGAACAGCAAGCATTAGCGAAAAGCAGTGTATGGGACATTATAAGTTCTGTGTAAAAGGCACTAGAATGTTAATTACCACATTATAAGTTTGGGGATCCTAATTTGGGGGAGGTTGATTGTTCTGATATGTAGCTTTTATCTTCTTAATTTATATGGGTAACAAAATTAATCAGTTAAGGCTGCTTTAAAAAGCAAGCAAATGCATTTATAGCAGAACTTCTACTTTTTTTTTTTTTTTTTGAGACTGGAGTCTCGCTCTTGTGCTCTTGTCGCCCAGGCTGGAGTGCAGTGGCACGATCTTGGCTCACCACAACCTCCGCCTCCCAGTTTCAAGCAATTCTTCCGCCTCAGCCTCTGCACTGGGATTACAGGCGCCTGCCACCACGCCCAGCTAATTTTTGCACTTTTTTTTTTCAGTAGAGATGGAGTTTCGCCATGTTGACCAGGCTGGTTTTAACTCCTCACCTTAGGTGATCCACCCACCTCGGCCTCCCAAAGTGCTGGGATTACAGGTGTAAGCCACTGCGCCTGGCCAAGAACTTCTGCTCTCAAGGAGGGGGAAGAAATGTACACTGTTAGGAACACTTTACCTGTTTCTGTGCTCTTGCTACCTTCAGAAAATTGCTAAGTCTAACTTCTACACTGTGTCTAATAAGAAGACACTGTTGAGCAGGAATTCTTACAGATAACCGTATTTATATTTTAAAATTTTTTTCATACATTGAAGTGTTTGCTTTTCATGCCTGTTTTTTTTCTTCGTGGTTTCTCCTATTCCTTTTGAAATCAGAAAGTTCTCCTCTGTTATGGGCTGAATTGTGTCCTGCCAGAATTCACATGTTGAAGTCCTAACCCCCAGTACTTCAGAATGTGCCAGTATTTGGAGATGGAGTCTTTAAAGAGGTAATTAAGTAAAATGACGTGATCAGTGTGGGCCCTAATTCTATATGAGTGCTGTCCTTATAAGAAGAGGCGATCAAGACACAGGCACAGAAGGAAGACCATGTGAAGAGAGGGAGATGGCCATCTACAAACCACAAAGGGAGGCCTCAAAAGAAACCAACCCTGTGAACACTTTGAAGTCAGACTTCTAGTCTCCAGAATTGTGAGAAATTAAGTATCTGTTGTTTAAGCCACCCAGTCTTTGGTACTTTGTTATGGCAGCCCCAGGAGACTAAGGCATTGTGTAAGAGTAAACCTTGGTGACTCCAGCATTGGTATAGAGCTTCTATCCATAGTCCTCTAAGGCAGCAGTTTATAAACATATTAATGTAATTATAAAGAAACTACAATCTTAATAATTCATCCAACAAACATTTATTTAGCTTGTCCTGCATATCAGATACTGAGCTAAATAGCAAGGACAAAAAGATGAGCCCCTAAGTAGCTCAAAATAAATAAGATCCCACATCACCCTCAAGGGATTCATAGTTTAGAGGAAACTGGCACATACAGAGTGAATTTCAGTATTGTGTGATCACTGGTAAGACTGTGGTATACATAGTGTGGGTAAGGACCAGAGCCTGTGGGAAATCCACTGGGACCCAAGAGGGCTGTCACACTGGAGGCCACAGCTAACCTAGTTCTCTAAGGAAAAGTCAAAGTGTGGCAAATGAATGAAGAGAGACATTTCAGTGACAGGAATGCCATAGACAAACGCAGAGAAATGGGAAAGTATCTAGCATGTCAGTTGATGACTGAGAGTTTGGGGTAACTGCAGTTAGAATGTGTATGAAAGAAGGTGGGAGGAGAGATTGAAAATTTGGATTTTAACCTGAAAGTAGTGGGAAGCCACCAGAGATTTTTAGAAAGAAAAGTCGTGATCAGATTTTGCTTTGAGCATGGTCTTTCCAGTAGTACAAAGAATGAAACAGTATGGGGAGAGGTGGGCTGCAGAAAGGCTGGATAGCAGGGAGAAGCAGGGGAGCCTGAATTGAGGCGGTGGTACCGGGTGGAGAAGGGCAGTCCTGCTTTAGAGATATTCCAGAGGTGAAATTGAACAGGTCTGTTAACCTACATTGTGAAAATGTTAACACTTGCTTATGTACCAACAACTGAAAAGCACTTCCAAGCATAACGCACTATACAATATTTACTTGTTTTTCCTGTGTTAGATGTATAAATATGATTGCTTCTTTCAACATATAGACTTGCCAATTTAATACACAATATTTTACTTACTTTTTAAGAATTAAATTCAAAGAAGTCACATTTTCTTGTGTTTTGCTTAAATTTGGGAAGAACTGTTCCTCTAAAAAGTACAGTATAATTGGATACAGTTAAATAAATTTTATCTCATCAGAGCGTGTCCAGTATTTTTGTGATTTTTCCAAGTTGGACTTGCTGGAAAGCCGTCTATTTGAAGCAAGAGAAAGTCTGGGAGAACACACTCTTCCGGATCTAATCTAAGTTTTCTCACTACCCACCTATCATAAGTACTTTTTTCAGTCTCTCTAGGCCAAGGCTTTCTTATTCATAAAAGGACCAATAGACTCCTTGATTCCTAAGATTCCTGCTAAGATTCTGTAACTCTTTCCTCCCAAAAGAATGACTGGTCTTGAATTCCAAAATGCAATTTTTCTGCGTGTGTTTTAAAAAGAAGACTGCATGTCGCTGAAAAATCTTCCTTGGAAAGTATATAAATCTTATTAGATGCTTTTGAGATTCATTAAAAGAACCGAAGCATCAGGCACGTTTAAAACATTACCAGGCTGGATGGAGTACGAAGGCACTGAGGGGAATGTACTTAAACCTCCGTAGGTTCAACCAAGTCTCACTGGGCGTAACACAACGAACAAGTGATGCTTTTTGAAACAAATTTGGAGAGTTGGCTGCAGGAAAATTAACAAGCCAGTGGATTTCCTTTCCCCTTCCTTAGGAAACTTGTTTCTGTAGATGCAAAAAGGGCCCTAGATCCTCTGGAAGAGAAAGAGAGTGGGGAGGGGAAGTTTCTCTGCTTTCTTTACTCCCCACCTGCGGTCTGTCTGATTTCCTCTCCAGCTCTGTCTGATAAGGAATTGATTCTCCCCCTCCTCTTCCCCCTCCCGCCCTCCCTCTCCTTCTCCCTGAGTAACGATGCTGTCCTAGCAAGTGATGCTGTCGGAGACAGGAGACAGGCGCCGAGGAGGCATCGCCGCCGCCGCGGGGCTGGAGAGCCTCTCCCAGCACCAGCGCCCCGCTCGGCCCCGGGCTTCCTCGTCGCAGCCACGGCCGCGGCGGTTGCTCCCACGTTTTGATGGTGGGCGGCGGCAGCTCGGCTTCGGCGCCAGCCTCTAACTGCTCGATCGCTGGCCGCACCGCTCTCCGCTCCTGCCTTCCCGCCCTGGGCCGCCCGGGGCCGCGGAAGCCGCGGGAGGTGGGGAAGGGGCGCCCCGGGAAGACCGCACGGCCGCGAAGGTGGAGGAGGCCGGCAGCTGGTACCCCCAGACCCGGACCGCAGCTGGCGCGATGTCCACCAAGGTCAGGAAGTGCAAGGAGCAAGCAAGGGTGACCTTCCCCGCGCCGGAGGAGGAGGAAGACGAGGGCGAGGACGAGGGCGCGGAGCCGCAGCGCCGCCGCCGGGGCTGGAGGGGCGTCAACGGGGGGCTGGAGCCGCGCTCGGCGCCCTCGCAGCGGGAGTCGCACGGCTACTGCCCGCCGCCCTTCTCCCACGGGCCGGACCTGTGAGTACCGGGCCCGGCCGCGGCCCGCGCCTCGGAGGGCGGTGCCGGGCGGGGGGCGGGAAAGCGCGCGCCGGGCGGCTCCACGACGTGCCCGGGACCTCCGAGACCCACATGGTACGGCCGGGCAGTTCGATTCGGGGTGATTAGGAGGGGGACAGCCCTCGGCCGGAGGCTCGCCCCCTCGGTCCCGCGAGGTGGAGGGACTCAGGGGCCGCCGAGTGCGTGGCGGGGCTCTGTCCCGGCTCAAGCGCACGGAACAGCCCGCAGGCGGGCACTCTGACTTCAGACCGGCATCCTGGCGAACAGCCACTCCCTGCCCAACAGCCACTCCCTGCCCTAGAGCCCAGGAGCTCGCACGACTGCCGCCAGGGCTGGGCACCCCTTGGAAGACGGACCCCGGGGTCCCGAGCTTACCTAGGGAGGCCGAGGAAGGTTAAAAGATGTGCACAGACCCAGGCGCGCACTTGAACCCCGAACTTCTCCCGGGTGTCCCAGCATGTAGCCACGCTGGGAACTTGGGTCCCCTCCGACGCTCTGGGACGTCGGGGGCGGGGGCAGAGAAGTGGGGAGTAGGGAGGGGACAATGCGATACAGGGTGTGGGTTGAAGGTTTGTCCAGGCGCCTCGTCTGTCTGTGGTTCAGGCACAGTTGGGGTGAAACTGGAACTGAAGCCCTATAGGGTTCCCTGAGGGAAGGATTGGGCATCGGGCAGCCGGGGAACCGTTTTAGTGGTAACTTTGGCCGCGGTTCCCGGGCGGAGTGGCTCGCGCCCCGGCACGGGGGCTCTCTTTTTCTCTTTCTTTCTCCCCCTCTCTCTCTTTCTAAACGAAGGAGCGGTCGGCGCGCTAATGCATGAGAAAGAGCAACTTTTCTTAATTTCCAATCTTGGAGACAGCTTTTAATCAGTGCGAGACGCAGAGAAGATAAAAAGAGGGTGATCGGTTTCACAGGGTGAGATGCTCTGTATTTTTCCTGTCACGTACACTGGGAGTGCCGCAGGGCTTACTGTCTTTTTTAGGAAGAACGCTCAGAGAACTAGGTAGAGAACTTGGGGTCGGATGGTGGCGGGCGGCGCAGACCGGCTGAGCCGGGGAAGTGGTTCTCTAGGGTGGGGACAGAGGTTCTGCAGCGCCCCCTGCTGCCGGCGAGCGGCCCACCGCCCGAGGCCGAGACCTCCGGGTTGACCCCTGCACCCCATGATCGCGCGCTGCTTCGCCCACGCGGAGTCTGCGCCTGGTCTGGCTGCACCTACCCGTAGAACACAGGAACACAATCAATGGCTGGGAGTAGACCCCGCAGGGAAGAGTTCTGATTTTAAATGAGCGACTCATCCGGATATGGTTCAGTTATTGCTGAAGATAAGCATGGAATGGAAACGGCCCAGGAAATGGAGGGAAGGTACATCCTTTGGGATTAAAGCGCCACCAGCTCACTTCCCCGTCTCCCTAAGGTTTTAAAACATTGTCCATTTTTCCTTTTGCCAAATTAGTTTTTATAACCTAGCTGTTTCTTGGTTCCTTTATAAAATTCTTCTTTTTTTAAAAACCTTAAATCCTTCCATTAGACACCTGAACTCTTATCTGAGGAAGTAGGGCGGAGCAGAGATTATTCACTTTGCTTCTGAAATTTGAGGCCAATTACACAAAGCCCTGGGGCAAATTCTATTGTAGACTTGCTGTCTCACTGCTAATAGAACATCTTTTGTATATGTTTGCTAACTTTACATAATTCAACAAGTAAATGTTGTGGTGTACTTATTTTGTAGAGGTCAAGAAGAAGACCCAGTCATTTTTAAGGAGATATACATTAAAAACTTTTCTTCTAGAGGCGGAGCAGCAAGCTCTTCATGTTTCTTTCAGGCTTGTCACTTGGTAACATCAGAGACTAGCTTGGTCTCTGTAACAGAGATTAGCTGTTTATTCCACCTTTGAGGAGAATACGGCCACTGTTTAATAAACAGTGTTTATTGTTGTTTAAAAGTGAACATGACAGCCTTAGGATGGATTCCGAGAAGGATACCCAGGGTCATTTCAGTAGACAAAACAGCATAGCTGAATTTAAAATTCAGCAGGATGCTGAGGATACAATCCCACCTTTACCAAGATAATTTCTCAGGGTAATTCTGTTGCTGGTTTCACTGCTCCCTGCTCCCCTATTCCATGTGGAAATTTTAAATAGACTGACTTGGTAGGAAAACTGTCACCTGCTGTATCACTAACAAGATTATTTTTACCTGTTGATAGAACTCTTGATTCAACCACTGATTCAAACCAAGACTTCCTTCATCCCAGTTGGTTGCAAACCTAGGACCAAGTAATATGTCATTGTAGTGATGGCCTCATTTTTTAATAATGTTTCAGTTCAATATATCTGATGAATTCCAAAAAAGGTATTGAAAGGCAGTTTTCATGAGTCTCAATTCAAGTGTTTCTCAAGCATGCATATTTGCAAAGTGTGGGCTAGGTACAGCAAGTCACAAAGATGAGCATGACAACTTTCCTGCACTCAAGAATTTTAAAATCTCATGAGGGAGAGGTGGGAATGAGACTGGGCATGAGCAATTATGCTGTAAGTTATAGTAAAATCAGTTCCGTTTTCAAAAAAAAAAACACATACAAAGGGTCAAGTGCAAAGAAGAGAAGGACAACGTTAGGTTGTGGGGAAATCAAGGAAACCTTTATGGGCCTTGAAGGATAGATATGATGAGAAGCAGAGACAAGGTAAATACTTAATTCAAGTCCTCTCTTCCCCCACAATGCCAGGCATGTCTAAGGAATATAAGTTGGGTTTGGATGGAATATAGATATGTGTAGGGGAGCAGTGATATTTAGCTGGACATGTTGGTTTGAGGCATTAGTGTGGAGGATCCTATATGCCAGAACGAGGCACTAGGGAGCCACTGATTGTTTTAAAGTAGCAGTAATTTGAGCAAACCCACTCTGAATTGAAGTGAAAATTAATAGAAAGTGAAGAGACAAATTAGGAGATGACTGTAACTCTCCAGGCTGAGATTAGGCTCTGTAATAGTGTAGTGTTGGTGGAATAGAAAGGGGAGAAATTGGGGGGGAAAAAAAGCCAGCTAGAATCTATGAAATTTTGCAACTCACTATCCATGAGGGCTTTGAAGAGAAAGCAGGATCAGAGACAATTTAGTGATTTTTGACCCAGATAACCAAGATGGTTGATGCCATTGTTGACAAGAAAAAAGCAAAGGTGAGGATCTGATTTTTCAGATAGTTCTTTTGTTGTTGTTTTCTTTTTAAAGGAATAGTGAATGATCAAATCTTTCTGATAGAGGTGTTAAGCAGGGAAAAGGAAATACAAGTTTAAAGCTGTCTGATGGGAATTGTTACACAGTTGTGTGACTACATGAGATTACTCAAAGGAGTGTGAAGAGAGAAAGGGAGTCCAAGCTAGATTTTGAGGGCAAAAAATTTTTGTTTAGAGGGCGGGGAGAAAAAGCAGCAAGAAAAGAGAAACATCGATGCACACTTGGCAAAAACTGAAAAGATCAAGAGAAAAACTTATGACTCTACTGTTAGAAGAATCAGTCCTTGTACGTATTGGCATACATGCACAAAATCATTAGATTTTTCAGCAATGTTATCTTTAACAGAGAAAGATTTCTAGAAAAAAATTCTGTTTAGTTTTTCTTCAGAGGAAGTGCTGCCAAAAAGTAGTCACAATAAAAGCAGTTAATTTGTGTTTATATACTACTTCATGCTGTTGTTTATACTCATTCACTTAAATCGCTCCTCTTTAAAGCAGTTTTTAAAATCATTGTCACTTAGCAAATGAGGAAATTAGTACACAGAGATGTAATGTTCTAACGCTTCCCCGGCAAATCAATAATAGATCTTCTAATACTCACCTTTATATGATCAAGGAACCAAAAATGAGTCCACAGTGCCTTGTAACTCAGATTACCTAAAACACTTTGTATGTTAGTGTCTGTGGCACTCACTGGTCTTGTATAAATGTTCCAGTCTTGGCTTAGTGCGTGTGTTGGCTCAGGCATTAGACTGGAAGCAGCGCTTCCTTCCCTCCCAACCCTGGAGGGAATCAGATTCTCCAAGTGATTGCTGAATCTTAGGGACAGGAGTCTGAATGTTGAGTCCAGACTGATTAGTGTTATTAAGAAAGAAGCAGCTTTTTTTACAGTTACAGTTTAATTTTTAAGAACAGCACAGCATGGCATTAGACTTAAGGAATTTATTTTTTTAATTTAATTTTTTTTTTTTTTTTTTTGGAGACAGGGTCTCACTCTGTCACCTAGGCTAGAGTGCAGTTGTGCGATCATAGCTCATTGCAGCCTCCAATCCTAGGCTCAAGTGATCCTCACATCTTAGCCTCCCAAGTAGCTGGGACTACAGGCACACACTACCATACATTTTGTAAAATTTTTCGTACAGACGAGGTCTCACTATGTTGCCCAGGCTGGTCTCTAACTCCTGAGCTCAAGCATTCCTCCTGCCTCTACCTCGCAAGTGGCTGTGATTATAGGCATGAACCACCGCCCCACCCAGCCTTGAGGCCTTTAATACTCTGAAACTTTTCTTTATATTATCAGTTGTATAACCTAGAGTAGCAATTTCACTGTGTACAATGAGTCGTTGTTTTTGTTGGTTTGTTTTAAATTATTTTATGTGGTATCAAAGTAATACATGAATATAGCTTTAAAAGTTAGATAGTGCTAAAAGACTTCTACGAACACCAGCAAGCCCCAGCAATTTCCTGGTCCCCTCTCCTTTTCTGTGTACTCTACTTTCAACTTTTTCATATACTGATATCTTTTTATTCATATTTTAGATGTTATCAATAGTCTCAGGTGAGAATTTATGTTCACATGTATCTCTTATTCTCCTCGTATCTTCCACAAGATGGTTTATCACAACTTCTGGTTAATATCTTATTTAAGTTCTTCATTAATATGGCCATGTAATCATTGTTCACTGCTAAGTCAAGTAGTATAGTATGACTACATTTATTTGATTTGATAATTGGTTGTTTTTCGGAGTAAATATTTGTCACATCGTGTCCTTGTTTCTTAGCTAATCTTCTACAGTGTCTAACTGTGTATGTTTTCCTGAAGTTATCCCTTCTAGAGCCTTCTAACTTTCTTTGTATGAGGTCTTTCCCCCCTCCCCGCCACCACCCCACCCCGCTTTAGGAAGCTCTTAGAATTGTCTCTTCATTAGCTCTCTTCTGAAGATGTACCTTGGTATGGATGCTTTCTTCACCGCCTGAGCTGGACACTGGGGTAACATTTTCCATCTGGACATTATGTCCTTTAGTTCTGGGAAGTTTTAGTTCTGAGAAGTTTTCCTAACCACCATTTTTATTCTTTGCTTTTTCTAGAATTTCTGTTGTCTTGATGTTGGACCTCCTGACTGATCCCCTAGTTTTTGTATCTCTTCTCTTCTGTTTTCCAATGCTTGCTTTTTCTGTTTTTTCTATTTCCTTGTTTCTATCCCCCAACTCTTTCACTGAATGTA